GAGACATTATTTGTAGGTAACCTCACAAGCTATCTATTAGTAAAAAAATATTTTGTTTTATTGGTCTGCCTTTGAGATATGTGAGTTAGAAAATCGATAATTTTGCAAAAAATGCAAAAATTCGAAATTTTTCAAACAAAATGTTCTCTACTTGCAGTCGGTAGAGGTCTTTTGGAATTTCTGCGTGATATTAATCGATGAATAAGTCCACTGCTGAATTAGATGTGTTTCGAAAGCTTCATGATAACTCCGCGAATTATACATACTAAGGAACATCATTGACCATGTAGTCACTGTTAGACAGATGGAGGGTAATCAAGAACAAAGTTAATATATGCGTTATAGACCTCAACTCATGCGAAGTCGAAATAGTATCTATGATGAATTAAATTCCTTCAGACGTTACAAAATGCCTTAGAGCAAAATAGGCTTAAATTTGACAAAATGTGTAAAAAAAGCATGTATTCTTTGATGTTAATTTTTATTGGTTCACTCGTTACGTTTTTCCTATTACTTCAACAGTACGAGATAGATGCTGCTTCTGTCCAGTCAATAATGTGGTCAAAGAAAAAAAAATTAAGTCTTATGATGTCGTTCAATTCCCATTTCCCACCACATGATTTTTACATCAATCAAACCGCCCTACTCCAGGAACAAGACATTTGGTGGTTTAGGCCACATCATTGGCATATTCGATAGGTTAATAATCTATTTATAAAGTTATTTTATCAGTGACTCTTCTGGAACAGCTATGGGGAGGGGGTAAAGGGTTTATCAAAGAATTAAAGCTCAATATAGAGAGGTATCGAGATTGAAGACTCCCTAACAAACATGGAAAGTTTTCTCTAATAAAAATTTCCGAGACTCTACGAGATTTTTACCTAGAGTTGCTCGGCTTGACTTAATTTATATGTGTATACAACTGGACAGATTGATTACGAAAGTAAAAGCTCGATTCTCGGTTAGTCTTCCTCAAAATTTTGTTTTTTTTCAAGTTTTCAACTCAGACTGGCAGAGACTCGACCCTTTATTTTCGTAACCGATCTGCCAGGTTGTATGCACATACAAATTAAGTCAATGTAAGCAACTCTAGATAAAAAGTCGTAGAGTCTCGGAAATTTTTCTTAGAGAAAACTTTCCATGTATGTTAAGGAGTCTTCAGTCTCGGAACGTCCCTCGCTCTGTAAAATATAGCAGCATGTGAAAACTTATCTTTTCGAGATAGAGAACTGTACTCTAAGTTACCCAAACTGCAGATTCAAACATTTGTTCTGACTAATTTTCGTCGGAGCTCTCTATCCTAGCATGATATTTCGGTTCCATTTGTAAATTATCGAATGGCAAACTAAACCCCTCCCCATATTAGAAGCCCCCGGGGGGCTTCTATTAGACCCTGCAAACTTTGGCCGGGTTTTGCTGGGCAAAACTGAAAATTTTGCTGGAGAGACCCCTCCAAGGGGGGCTTCTAATAAGGGGGGGGGGGGCTTCTAATATGGGAGGGGCTTCTATTATGGGGAGGGGTTTACCTTACAGGAGCTACCTCTCCACAATGTTAATTTCTGTCAGTTCTTGATCTATCAATGTAGCTTACAGAGAAATGAGCCTCAACTTTGGGTTCCTCCTACTGAAAACCAATGTTTGACTACGGTAGAACATCGAACAACCGCCTCCTCAGTTGATAAATGTGATATCGATATACCATCGATCAGATTTTGAGTAAAGTAATCAAAAATAACCACTTTTCAAGCTATCTTCTCAGAATTGAGAATAATTTTATGTGACTATTTAACAATCTGAATCATAGAAACATGCTTTTGATCATATCGACAAAAAATAAATAGCTAAATACAGGGAAGAAGCTGGATATAAATGGCATTATACTTTAAAACCAGTAGTTGAATAAATTGATGTAGCAGAAGTAAAACAGCAACTCATACTACATACCCAAACCCAAACTCAAACCCAAACCCAAACCCAAACCCAAACTCAATACCCAAACCCAAACCCAAACCCAAACTCATAAACCCAAACCCAAACTCAAACCCAATACCCAAACTCACCAAACCCAAACGGTTTGGGTTTGTTGCATGCCTAGGTGTGGGTGTGGGGTGTGGGTGTGGGGTGTGGGTGGGTGTGGGTGGGGTGTGGGTGTGGGTGTGGGTGTGGGTGTGGGTGGGTATGGGTATGGGTGTGGGTATGGGTGTGCGTGTGAGTGTGGGTGTGGGTGTGTGTGGGTGTGGGTGTGGGTGTGGGTGTGGGTGTGGGTTTGAATTTGGGTCAGATTTATATCAAAAACTATACCCACGCCCACACCCACACCCACACCCACACCCACCTACCCACACCCACAC